TCGCTCCTCCTCGCTCCTCGCTCCTGCTCCTCCTGCTCCTCCTGCTCCTCCTGCTCCTCCTGCTCCTCCTGCTCCTCCTGCTTACTGCTGCTGTCATCGCCTTTGTAACTTGAGATTGTCAGTCCTATTGGGTGTAGCCTCAAATTTGAAAGACCGGCCGCTGCACACAACTGGTTAGATGAGGCGTCGCTCCAGCTCAAGATGAGGATCATAGCAGAGACTTGATTGATTTGGTGTTCATGTGCTGATTTCATAAAGATCATCTACGCATCGATTGTGCTGAGCAACTCAGTTCTGTCAAGCACAAGGCGAGCATGACCCCAGCTACCCATCTTCTCACAGCTGCAAAACTGCAAGGGAAGTCTGCTCGAAAAAAGTACTACTGTGACTTGATGGAAATCGTTTCCGGTTTGGAATTGGTAAAGTGAAAACTTTCGGAAAAGGAGAGACTACCCTGGCTTTGCTAACCTCACCCTCTCACGAACAAGCATCCGATAACTTGTGGGAAAGATCGTGCTGAAAGGATTCAATTGTCTTCGTCTCTTGCTTTGAACTGCTTGGTTGCTCGTCGCTTCAACTGGCTGTCTATCATTCTCATCGCCCTCTCTTGCTCGGACCTTGCCTTCAACCTCCTCCTTGGGCGCCTGACGCTTATCGGCAGTCGCCTTCCGGTGCGCAGGGCTTTCTCCGTCCTTGGAGACCTGCAGCAGGTGATCTCCGTCCTTGGAGACCTGCAGCAGGTGATCTCCGTCCTTGGAGACCTGCAGCAGGTGATCTCCGTCCTTGGAGACCTGCAGCAGGTGATCTCCGTCCTTGGAGACCTGCAGCAGGTGATCTTCGACTTTGGCTCGCTTGCCCGTCCGGAGGCTCTCGAGGATGAAGGTCTCGCGGACGATGGGCACCCCGAGCTTGCAAGCTTTTCTGACCCTCTGCGTGTTTCGCTGCACGGCCGCGTCATCGGCGACGAGGACGTGGAGGTTCTTGTGCACGAGGGTGTCGAGCCTGCCCCCTGCTCGCCTGATCGCCTGCCCCATCCTCTCCCGCTCAAACGCTCCCGTCACGCTCACCGCCACCCCCGCTAGCGCCATGCCGCACGTGCGGGGGGATGAGGGGCCTCAGTCTGTAAAGCTTTTTTTTAGAGCGGATTTTTTTGTATCGGGGCAATGGTAGCCCGTGGAGGAAAGGACCAGGACGAGAAGGGGAAGAGCGGGGGAGTGGAGAAGGAGAGCAAGGACAAGGAGGAGAGAATGGAGGAGAGGAAGGAGGAGAGAAAGGAGGAGAGAAAGGAGGAGAATGTTCTAGAGGATGGGGAAGTCAGCGGGATCAGGGACGAAGGAGAGTTGGAGCTCCAGCAGAGGAGTTTGCAACAGGATCAAGGAGTGTCAGAAGGCGGAGAGAAGGAGGTAGATGAGGTCCGACATGCACGTAGCAAGACAGAGAGCGAGAGAGCACGCGAGGAGTGGCTGGAAGACTCGCAGGCGTTCGAGCGGCGGTTAGCTGAGGGAGGGTCGGAGAGGAGGAGGGATGTGGCGATAGCAACGTCAGGAAGAGTCAGGGGCAGGTGCATCATCTTCGTTGAGGGAGAGGGCGTGCTGTCGAGAGCAGGAGCAGGGGTGGAGGACGAACGTCTGCGGCTGCTCGGGGGTCTGTGCCGGAGGTTAGAAGGGGAGCCGGTGCTAGCGGGGGAGTGGAGAGAAGACAAGATGCTTCTGCGAATGATCAACAACAGACTGCGAGAGCTGGAGGCTCCAACGGTATGACGTAGCAGCAAGCTACCCCTCGTCCCCCTCTCACCCTCCTCAATCTCTCAGCCTGGCTCTCTCTCTTTCCTCTTCCTCCTCTCCCTTTCATCTCTCTCTTCTTCCTCCTTGCGCTCTCGTCCTTCGCCTGGTGCGTGTGCCGGTGCAAGTTGTCACCTGGGCTGTACTGGCGCTGCCTCTCCCTCTTGTGCGGGTTGACAAGCACCTATGGGTCTTGACAAGCTTTTCATGCTCTCAGTTTGAGATGGCAACACCTCGAGTAGACTTGGAGGCTGGAGGAAGCGATCAGAAGATAAGAGAGGTCGATCCCCCCAACCCCCTTCCTCCTTCTCAGCTCCTCTACCTCCGGCCTTCCATTCCACCTGTTCAACCTCGCTTCTCGTATATCCCCTCTTACCCTCCTCCTTCCTCGCTCTTACTCTCCTCCACCTTCTCCTCTCCCCTCCTACCCTCTTACTCTCCTCCACCTTCTCCTCTCCCCTCCTACCCTCTTACTCTCCTCCACCTCTCGATTCATTCCCTTGTCCCCTCATCTCCTCCGCCTCTCCCTTCCTCATCAACTCTCTAGGTCGTGGAGTTTCTCCGTCAAACGAGGAGCAAGCTGCCTTGGCTGGTCATCGACACGCAGAACTTGTTGCCTGTCAGTCTTGAACTCTGATTGCCTCCTCTGCTCGTCCCTTCTCATCCCCTTCAAGGCAGCGAGACAAGCAGACATGGTTGAGCTCGAGGACGTCGATCCTTCTCTTCGCTTCCTCCTCGTTTCATCTCGCTCCGGGTTCTCGGCGGCGGATGCAGAGCGAGCAATCCACCTCCTCCAGCTGCAGGTCCCTACGCCTCCTCTTCCACTTCCTCCTCCTTCCTCCTCCCCCTCCCCCTCCTCCACACTCGTTGAGGTTCGTGCAGGCGGTGGAGACGATGAGGAGGATCAACTTGGCCGGTTGTCTGGCAGGTCATCTAGTGGAGCTTGCCTTTGCCATGGGCACCCACTACAGGTAGAGACTAGTGGGAGGACGAGGACGAGGACGAGGACGAGGACGAGGACGAGGACGAGAGGAAGAGGACGAGGAGGACGAGGACTATCGAGAAGATGGAGATGAAGGACTCTAAAGCATCGTGCAGGCTTGGAGCAGCTTCACCTGTGAACTGCTTCCGACGAGATCCTCGTCAGGTGGGAGGGAGGGGGAGGAGGAGGAGGCTGAAGCGCATACTGCATCAGCTTCTGCGGCAGAAGGAAGGGACGGGAAGACGAGGAGGAAGCGAGGCTCTGCAGGCGGTCTTGCGCAAGGTTCCGATGGAGGAAGGCGAGAGAGGAGGTGAATGAGCGCAGATCGTGCGCGTACCTGAGGATTTGAAGACACTAGAGGAAGCAGTGAACGGGGCCAGCAGCTGCTCTCACGTCTCTCTCGTCGTCGACGTCAAGGAGGTCGAGACTCGCTGCTCCTCTGCTCCAGCCCTTCACCTCCGTCGCTCCATCCATCTACCTAGATGCCCTTGCAGTCCT